CATACTGAAGGGGTATAAGGGAATCTCAGTGGGATGTATTGTGTTGTTCAGTTTCTCCAGCTTCATATACGGAAGTGTGTTGGTTTTGCACACCTTGGCATTGTAGATGTTGATTATGTTTTGTAAAGACAGACCCAAGCAATGTTTTGATGTTTTTTTTATTTAAATCTTTACATTTAACCTTAAAGGAAACATATTATGCAAAACCCACACTAATATTAAAAGCTTCTGGCACAAACATGTAGTTCTGCACCTTCTGTCTAAAAAAAACCACCTCAGTATGTCCTACAATATTAGGTCACTGTACCATTAAGACTTAAATCCATTTTGACATCAAGCTATTTTGTTTGGATTTAAAGTATTGTTGAAAATGACGGACACTATTTATTTACATTTTAAAGGATAATATACCAGGTATGGTTATTGTCCAACGCCAATGTCAATCATTCCATTCCAGAAAACAGAGGCAGCCTTGTTGTCATTAGATCCATGTTGGTACAAATGTGAGCACTAATTAACTTGGGCATCTTGACTATTTACACAAGACTTCCTGGATTTTGTAGCTTTCAGTTTTCAGCATCTCAGGATAAGATCAGGTTTGCAAAAACATGCACTGTTCAACGTTATCTTGATCTATATGATGGAGCACCGTGCACCATACAGAACAGGCCAACATGCAATCAAACCAGATGTCCCGGTTCAGTTGGCGAGCTGCCATACAGTTATGGGAACCCCCACCCCCCACTTCCAGAACTTCACCCCTCCACATTCTCCAACAGAGTGAGACACCCACACTTGCAGGATGTAAAGTGGCAAATGTCCAAAAAGAAGCAAGCTGACATCAAGGACCAGGGGGAGTGTGTCTGTCTGTGGCCCAGCTCAGTGTGGTGTCTGGGGAGGGTGTGGGCGAGGGTCCGGTAAACCCTTTTGCATCACAGAGGAAGAGACTTGTCGTGCCAGCTGTCCTCTGATTTACCACACTGACTTGTGCAATCCCATCACACTGTTCTCTGTCAACTGACTCAATAACAACAAGTGAAGGAGAATAGATAATAAAAATATAAGGTCGTTAGAAGGCTGCTCCTGAGCCACGGTGCTGCAGAGATAAAGGTTCTGTCCGCCGTAGTGGAGAGTCTGAGTTTATTTGTTTACATTTGTTTTTCCTTTGAGGAAAGCTCTTCTAAAAACTGCAAACTTAAGTATGACTTAAACGTCAGATTTTTTTGGCTGAAATCCAAGCAAAGTTGTAAACACGTTTTGTACATTTAATTAATTGCATATTTTGTTTAATTCAGGGTGCATCTGGTCCGTCCATAGTAACTGTTATGTCGACATCAAATACATAAATGTGCTCATACTTCTTTACTTTTGGATACAAGTATAATGTACTTTTTGAATTCCAGTCTTGGGCAGATGAAGGCATGGCTCAAGCTTCTCTGTGTCAGGACAGCAGTGGCCAGAGTTTGGAGATGTTTCAGAGGTGGTGGAAAGGCTTTGTGAGGTGTTTAATGTTCCGTGGCCATCTGGAACATTTTTTTTGGAACTGTCTCGATTTGAAAATACCTTCTCTGTAAGACTGACTACAAACAATAGAAGCCGGTGATGATTTGGAAAACTCCAGAGGGCATATTCTAATAGTCATTGAGTAATTTACGGAAATACAAGAATAACTTGAATTGAATTGAATACTCCTAACAGTGGTGAAACAAACAGGATTACAATGAGAGCATACAAAAGGGTTGAGTTTTATCCATCAACATTTCAACAGGTCTTTTGACAGCAGGTCTATAATCTGTCTGTTTTTATATTTTTAGGATTTTTTGTTATATCCAACAACAACTATCCTGAGGTCGTTGGTCCAATCACAGAAACGTCACCCAGTAAAACTCACCAAACAATAGTACATTTATGACTAAACCTTACCACCAGTTTTATATTCCACCTATGAACACACTGAATGCCTCAAGGCTGATCTGGACCAGGTATCTCAGGCAATGATTGGATTTTAATCGTCCTTCAGCTCTCTTTGTGTGTGGTCCGATGCAATTCAAGCAGAAAAAACTCTACGCAAGAAACCACAGGGAAGAGCAAGACACAAACGAGATGTCAAGAAGAAAGCGGTCCATCCTACCACAAGAATCACCTCCAGCGCCCAGTCCCCTCCTCTAATTATCGGGTGGGATTCGTATAATTGAGCCTTGGCAATTTGTGGCCACATTTAAGGCGGTAAAAAGCCCTCACCGCTCTAGCTCGGTGTAATGTGAACGAGGGGATCTCCAGTTTTATAAAGTACCTGCGTGTCACTGCCAAGACTGCAGCAGCGAGGCAGGCTACCACACAGATGTTGCAGGAGTGCGTAAAAACCCTGAAGACGTATAAACAAAAGTAGTAGTTTGGATTCAAGTAGCAGTATAAGACATAGTGCTGCAGTGAATCACTAGGTTTCTCAGGGTTAGCGCTCCAGGCATGTTCCTCTACGCCATGACTCGGCTCTCGGTTTCATATGCTCATAAGGGCTGTAACAATCCACCGAGGACACATGAAAAGATACAGGTTATTTTTGTTTTTCGAAATCTTTGAGTAATGTGCATGCAGTTGTTTTGTGCACATGCGATCTTGAAACTTGACTTCTCCAGGAGCTATAGACTTCTGTGTGGGTGGAAATCGGTATCTCAAGGATTGCGTTTCGTGTATTAACACATACTGTAATTGATAGCTTTGTTGCCTACTTAAACATGGGAAAATGTTTAGTAGAAATGTTAATCCTTTAGTTATTAAGGTTTGGGTTTGAGTTCAAAAGGTTAAAACGTCTCACTTGCAAAATAATGGATTGGGATTCATAAGATTGATCCTTTTCCTTAAAAAAAATGATACTTGGTCCTTGGTTAAAAAAATGAAAAAAGTATTGTATGTTGTATGTAACTGGCATGATCAAAGAATAAATTAATCTATAGATATTTCTCAGTTTTTGATGCTTCTCTGTGTAAACATCAATAAAATCATTGTGCTTGTATGTCGGCAAGTACGACATAATCTAATATTACAATTAGGGGTATTTTAATGCAGAAATTATGGAACTACCAGTCCATTATCATATATAGTATTGATATCCATAATAAATCATGATTATACAAATTCCATATCATAGTAAAAATTGCAGTGTGGTATCGGAAATTTTTTCCCAAATCCTCGCCAATACCCAAAAAAGTTCCAGAGCCATTGCTAATACTGGTATCTGTATCAAAAATCAATCTGATCCACTGTATTTATAGCATATTTTATAAACAAGACAGCATCCAAAGTTTTTAATTACGTCCTTAGTTACAATTATATGACTTTTTAAACAAAATTATTGTCCTTCTCTTCTTTGAGTATTGTGCCTGTTTGAGTCAACTTTATAATTCTATAAACTGAGGATGCCATGGCTCAATGTACTCAGTGTTTCCCCTGTTTTCCCCCTTCTAAAGAAATTTCACAGTTGTTGACAGTTGACGTGTGTTCTTGGCATCAATGATAAAACAAAAGACAATCTACTTGTTTCAGAAGGTGGAAATCTGCAAACCATGTATCTCAAGGACGCGTCAATGGATTTAACTCTCATCGATAGCGTTGAGATGTCGTCAACCGTTTGAAGAAGTATTCAAAACATATCACAAGAATCCCTTCAGGAAAACTCTCTTAACTTGTTTTTTGGAACCAAAATGTCTGTGTTGGCTGTTTCTCATGATAGATAATGCAATTCTCGGTGCATGAAAACCACATGAATACATCAGACGAAATAAACCCAGGGCTTTTCTGTCAACAACTCTCAGCTGACCCTCAGAACAAGTCCATTAGTGAGAAGCCGAACGTCGCTGGAACATCTCACTCTACGGACAGCCACGTGACCTCTCCACCTTTGGTCCTTACGGGTCAGCTCGGGTCCTCTCCAAGAGTCCGTCTGTGTGTGTGTTTTACTGTTTTGAAAATCTAATCCCATCCACCTGGGACATTAATCCGTTGCACAATAGCTCCTTTTTCCTCCATACTCGCCAATACCAACCAAGCTACGTGTGTTAAAACTTTCATTAAAGAAGAGTCAAAGGAAATTGAAGATTTATATGAGGTTTACGTTGAATTTAGATATGTTTGCCCTTTTAAAATGTGGTTACTGGACCCACTGGGAAAATGGTTGTACGCAGAATCTTTACCGCAGTTCTGTGAAGAAGTGGTAAATATTTTGAAGGGAAAAAGACCTTAAGTGAACTCTAACCGCACGATTTGGATATATATTGGGACCAAATATTCCACGGCTGTCAAATTGCCCATAAAACTATGATGCCAAAGGAAAGATACGCTCTTTAAATTATATAGGCTAACTTGCTTTTCTAGAAGGTCTGCCAGAGTGACGGAAAAAATCCATGAAACTTAAAGTTGTAAAATGTATAAGGAATGGTTCAGAGTTTAGTGAAGACACAGGCAGAATGCACAAGCCAAAACAGTCCATATAATCTGAAAGTAATTAGGATTGATACAGTATTTTCCTCTGAAGGAGAAATGCTAATGTCTGTGAATGGGATCTGTAAACATTCATCATTGTTGAATTTATCAGAAAAATAAGTGGCGCCATCTTTCAGACAGTGGATCAGTTGATATCAACAACTGATTGAGATGTCAAAATATCCAATCGTTTTCTCATAGATTTATAAGAAACATAATATTTGTTGAACTTGGATTGTTGAATTTTGGGGCTGTTTTTCAGGATTAAAGTTTTCAACTTTTCATACAATAATGGTTTCTTGTCACAGTTTGACACACAATTTCACTAATTGTGGTGAAAAACAAAAAGGTCAAAACTCAAACGCACATGTCACATTTAAAAGACGTTTCAGTTTCGAAGTAAGACTGAGGTGACTGACCACACAGACACACATCAGTCTGAATCACAGTGTGCCTTATTCCCCTCATGAACTTAAAGCAAATTACATAATTGAATAGGAAATCATAGATTAACTCAATAATTAGATTTGGATCAATAGACGTATTGACGTGTGCATTGAGGACTGGTGGACTGTCGTAACCCAGTTTTCAACAGAGGGGCTGAGAGCCAGAGCAGGGGGCACTGACAGAAGAGCCCAGTGTGGAGGCTCTTTGTTTGGGATGGCGCGCAGAGATGTGAGGCCTGGCCTGGATCTGTGCTCTGGAGGTGGGCCAGGGCAGAAGTGGCCGATGGGTCCCGTCTGAACACAAAGAGGCTTTCTGTGCACAGGTCTGCAGTGTCCCGGGACATCAGTGCTGGACAGGACACCACAAGAGGCTCAACCCTATAGACAACAACACTGGCACAGTCTGCCCTTGTAAATATTCTTTTAATAATCTCTAACAATATGCTGTCTGTTCCCAACAAGATTGTGTCATGTTTAACGTTACAAACTCCAGCAGTGTTTGCCTCATTTTGGAAACAAGAATGTAAACAAGCAAAGTGTGCTCTACTTCTTTTAGAAAATATATTGAGATGTTGAATAACGTGGTTTAGGTCACTGAACTGTCCCCTGAGGAACTCCTGAACTCATGGTTCATCTGCAGCAACACATGAACCTCAGAACAAATAGGGAATTTGGTTTGCCACAAAAGAAGAGAGATTAACCTTGTGAAAACAATGTCCACGGCCTGAATGGCGAAATAATAATGCATGTCATTTAAATTAAAATCAGAAAAAAGTAGAATTACTTTACTTATGCAGGTTATAAAATCTATTTGTGTGTATTTTTTACTCCTAAGAAATATGATAAAGACGTCAATATTTTCCTACAAAAAAAAATTGTGTCAAATGTGTACTGCTTTTCAACAATGTGCCTTTTGCTCTTGGTGACAGAACAATTCCTAATAGAACATTGACGACATGTGCGCTTTTATAAAGAATTGAACGAATATCATGCGTTTGCAATAAATACCAAAAGAAAAAAGGATGAAGAAATAGCAAAAAGAAATGCTTCGCTCAAAGTTTTTTACACCCCATCGGTCTTTTTAACACGTGATATAACCTGAAGTCATACGGTATGGGAGCAATCATATTCACTGACTTCCTGTGCCCTGAAGGTGTAAAGGGTGACATCATTTGAGTGTGTGACATAGGCCTCCGCTGGGATGTTATGTATCCTTCCATAATTCAGAGAACCAGGCCTCTGTTCTCCTCCAAGCCCCCACCCCCATCACCTCCAGCTCATAAATGTCCCAGGTCTGTCCTTGGCTAACAGGCACCGCCCCCCCCCAAGCCTGTTAATAAACCTTAATTAGCTTGATTAAAGCCCAATTAGGAGCCAGGACTGAAGGGAGCCCTGTCCCTCTAACCTTTGAGTTTTGACCCCTTGCAGGAGATCAGAGGGCGGTGGAGGTGTGTGTGTGAGGGGGGGGGGGGACACTTAGGGAACAGGATGGGCCACGATTGGTCACTTCGCTAACTAGAGCGGCTAACAGCGTAATGTGTGAAACGGTTTCCACGTGTCTGCGGAAGGTAAAGACAAAGTACGTTCACAGCGACTGGTGCTAATTACTGCATCATGTTTTGTATTTTGAGACGAAAAAGACGTGTAGAGCTCACACCGGTCAGGTCACGGTTACACACACTGACAGTGGTCTAACACAGATGCTACACTGCTTTGTCTCTTGTCTCATCATTTTGATAAAGTCACAGATTTTATTTTATTTTGATAATGAGTAATTGTTCATTTATGTTGTGTGCTCCTCATATCTACACATTTTCCCACCGTGGGACAGAAAAGGTTCTCTTAATCTTAATCTTTTGTATTCAGATAGAAATGTGTACAATGGTTCCTGGTTTATCGCGGGGTTACATTCTAAAAATAATCAGCGAAGTAGCAGCTATATGTTTTAAAACTGTAAAAACCCCTCACCACACACACCTTATACACTTTTCGAAACTACCTGAACCCACGGCTGCTGATGTGTGAGATAGCGCAGATATTGATCCTGTGTGTTGTAGATTTGAGTGTTGCTGCAGCTGTCAAAAGCCGAGCATATGCTGTACTCATGGGCAACACGGAGGCTGAATGGATATCACTCTGCATTATCAGCAAGACATTTTGAATCCCGGTCGGATCGGGGCCTTTCTGAGTGGAGTTTGGATGTTCTCCCTGCGTCTACACATGTTTCTCTAACCACTAAAACACGCACCTCGCTCCCATCACTGTGGGCAGTGAGAGACAAACGCCCACAATTGTAAAGCGCTTAATGACTCTGGTCTGTGAAAGGCCAGATATTCTTCTGGTTAAATTTTGAGGTCTAAAATCTCTTTATAAACATGACTGTGAGAGCCAAAGCAGTTAAAATGCAAAAAAAGTGTTTAATTTAAAGCTAAAAATATAAAATAGTTTTTTCTCAATCAGATGTATGTTAAATATGGTTAAAACCCTAGAAAGTTAAAGTTAAACGGTTACAATTCTTAAGTTAAAGAAAGATCCTAAAATGTTATAAGTTACTGTCTCATAATGATTAAAGACTGCAAAAAAGCTATTGCAAATATCTAAGTTTAAAAACAGGTAGAGCAGCTTTAAAATCAGAGACACTCCCATTATTTAGACTGCTCTGACTGTGGAGGACTGTAATGTTCATTTTCTATTATTTTTGTTCAATAAATGGACTTAAACGGATTACGTCTCCCTGGTCTCAGTGTCAGAAGAACTTTTGCACCTGGCTCACTGTGACTCTCTTTAAATGAGCCACCACAATGACAATTCCCCCCTGAGCCTCCTGTATACTTGCCCTGTACCTGCCCTGACCTCTGCTCCCCTCCTCACCCCCCTCTCCCCTCCTGCAGCGGGACGGTCCCATCATAACCCGGACCAGGACTGGATCTGGGCCGTGCCGTAAATAAGTCCAGCGCAAGGCTTTATGCTTTATGGGATCCAGAGTCTCTTTATCCCTTCCATGTGTTGCGAATGCGCCCAGGCCCTGACCCTAGCCCCCAGCCTCTGCCTTCAGTTATCCCAGGGCAGGACAGGCGCTGTTGGGACGTCCCGTGAGCACTTTGCCCGGCTGGAGTGGATCAGGGGTTGATTATGTCCTGACCTCCTGCCCTCCATGCATCACCTTATGCCCGCATCTTCATTTCACAGGCTGTAAAACACTCGCACCAGGTGGAGGCTGACCTACCGGCTTCATACAGGTCTGTAAACACTAAATTATAGCTTAGAGATGTGTGGTGCCATTGACTGTATGTATAAGTAGGGCTACATTATGTTACAGCAAAAAGACACATACAGAACACATGTATAAGTGTCTTAACTAGTTCCAGGCTCAAACAAACTAACGTAAATATGCATTCGGTCACTATCTGCCCAAAACACAAAACGTACAATTTAAAAGGAAAAAGGTTAGATATGTCTGAAGAAAAATAAAAAAATAAATATCTATGTTTATGTTTAATTAAAATTCTCTAAGTTTGCTTTTATCTATAGTTTTGACATGGATGTATATTTGGAGTCTGTGAGATCTTTAAGAGAACCACCTTTACTCAGCCAATCAGCTCTCAGCATACACAAAGTTCATTAAAAGTTGTGGTCAGGTCTGTTGTAATGATGTTTACATGTCGAGGCACGTACCAATCAGCACTGAATGTTCACTTTGGAAGTCACGTTAAATAAAAATTGAGATTTAAAATGTTCCAAATGTACACGCATGATCCACAGGTGGAGATTATGAAAAAACCATACGTTGTTGTTTTCTGGAGGCAGGGCAGATCCATTAACTTTTTCCACAATGGCCAATGAATAAGACAATATGATTTCAATCTATTTTTTGGATTGATTTCTAAGGCTGAAACAATTTACCCATAGGACAAAACAATTTCCGAAAGGCTGGAATTAAGTTTGAAGAATCTTTGAACCAGAATCACAGATACATTTTTAAATTAAAAGTCTTGAGATAAATATCTTGAAGGTCTAATGCTATTGAGAAATGTTGATAGTTCCATTCAGTTTATCAGTTAAAGATGCTATACCCAATTTTTTTTTCTAATGAGTTCATAAAAATGCTTATTACTACATGAAAGTTGTATTATAATTTGTAATTTAATGTAAAACTTGAGCTCATTGATTCAGCTGTATATGAATTCAATCCGTAAAAAGTGCTGAGTAGAGACTTAGAGACCTCTGCAGCGCTGCTAAACACAGTAGCATGTTAGCATAAGTGGCTATAACTCCTCTGGTTGTAACTGCAGACACAGCAAAACCGCCCAAACCACACAACAGTGAGGAAGAGAAGAGGGAACTAAAGCCAGAACATGATCAAAGAAGAAATCAAGCCCTGAACATAGAATAGAATAGAATATAACAAATCTTTATTGTCTGTTCAAATTGAGCAGAGATTTGTCTTTCAACACGGCACAATTAAAAATCATTAATAAAACACATTTTAAATACATTTATCAAACAGTTAATAATTTATGCAGTGCTACCGGTTGTTTAGGGAAGTGACGATCTCTTGTAGATGTTTTTTCCGGGAACAGAGCTAGCTTACAACGTATCCTGTGGAGAGACTTGTCTATGGGAGAGACCTGCGGGACCGTCTCGGACTATCTACGCTCGGACTATCTACGCTCGGACTATCTACGCTCGGACTATCTACGCTCGGACTATCTACGCTCGGACTATCTACGCTCGGACTATCTACGCTCGGACTATCTACGCTCGGACTACGCTCGGACTATCTACGCTCGGACTATCTACGCTCGGACTATCTACGCTCGGACTATCTACGCTCGGACTATCTACGCTCGGACTATCTACGCTCGGACTATCTACGCTCGGACTATCTACGCTCGGACTATCTACGCTCGGACTATCTACGCTCGGACTATCTACGCTCGGACTACGCTCGGACTATCTACGCTCGGACTATCTACGCTCGGACTACGCTCGGACTATCTACGCTCGGACTATCTACGCTCGGACTATCTACGCTCGGACTATCTACGCTCGGACTATCTACGCTCGGACTATCTACGCTCGGACTATCTACGCTCGGACTATCTACGCTCGGACTATCTACGCTCAGACTATCTACGCTCGGACTATCTACGCTCGGACTATCTATGCTCGGACTACATTCGGACGCGGAACTAGCAGTAATCTTTCAGTTATATATTGTGTTAGCAGTGCGTGTGTACCATTTCATCAGTGATGGTTGTACAGCTTACAAGAAGTTGCGCTCATGCTAATGTTAGCATACGTATCAGATCGCAAATACAACTGGATGGCTCCGTGGAACGAGAGCGTAGGGGAAATGAGAGACCTGTGATCGAGTTGAAGGGCGGTGCTTAACATTAAAACCTTGCAGAAACGGGTATAGCTCCTTTAAAAGGCTCTGTAACTTTTCTTCTCTTGTTTCGAGTTGCCTCGTGTATGAACTGTGCAATACAAATAAACTCTCTAAGAATGAAAAACAGTCTGTTACCAAAGTGGTCTATAATCATTGTCACTGGGATGTTGTATATGTCCTGTGGTGTGTATTACCATAGACTGCTTATAGACAAACAATGCTAAATCCCTAGCTCAATGAAGCCCAATACGGAAGTGCTCATGGACAAAGTTTTGCCACAACCCGCTCTAGCTCCTAATGACTTACATTGAGTCACACTTACCATTTTGGGCTTAACAAGTCTGTAGATAGATAGATAGCTTTTATTACAGACTCGTAGACACAACACACTAAAAAAACAGACAACATAGAACGATAAAAGTCCCCAAATCTCTTTAGAGGAGGCAACGATACCAGTGTTTCCACAGTGCAGGGGTAAAACGAGCTTCACTGTAAGCTCTGCTCGTCAACACTAAAATCATCATATTCTCACTAGTGTTCAGGAGACACGTAAACTTGTACATAAGGCTCCTCAAGTTGGCCTGCAGTGTGTTCAGAAGCGCTCCATCTGGGCCTTTTTAGCAACAGTCTGAAGGCATCGTTGTAGACTTGCTGTGTTTTTAGTTTAATATTGTCCAGAAATGAGCCATTAGTGATTGTATTAGTTCCTGTGTAAATCATTTTGCAAGCGACTAAAATTATAAATAGACTTTTGAAAATGAATATTCAAGTTTCACCTGTGTTCTAGGATCACCGTGTGGATTTTGGCCGCGTTAGTTTGCATTCATCTACCTCACTTTGCCTTACAGAAGATAACTTATTTTCAGTTAAGACATTTGTTCCACATATCAGATGAAGAGAAGTGTTGTTTTTAGACATAATGAAGAACAAGTGGGGGAGACAGAATATGATCGATACCTTGTAACTGTAAAAGACTGTGGAAAAAGCCATCAGTCATTTCAGAATCCATACTCTCTGCAACACATTTCACATCCAGTTCTGACTTACATGATACTCTGTGTACCGACGAATGAATGTGAAGTGAAACCCACAAACTGTCCGTTAAAATAGCCGTTTATTAAGGTATGAGTGTGTATGTTTGTGTGTCTGTGTGTACAGGTGTAAAACTAGCAATTTTGATAAAACCGTAATAACCCATTATCTTTTTATAGTTATTTTGTATTGTCCCCCGATCAAATCCAATCCAAAAAAAGGCACAAAGTCACATACTTAATTTTAGCTTTGTAATTGTTTTTCCATTCTTTTGTTTGTATGTTTATTGCTGCATTTCAATGACAATCAGTAAAGTGTTGAATGAGTTGCGAGATTGAAAAGGGTAATTTGAGGCCGTCAAACTCTGTGAGCTGTAAACTCCTCCGATAGAGAATGTGGGCCCTAAAACAGCAGGACACAGAGCTATTGATTTAAGCCAAAGAAACACATAGTGAGATGTTGCGTGCAAATAGCGTTCTGTGGACACTTGGAACTGTGGGGACGGAAAACAAAACACATTATCCACATTTCTCTTCTCTCTTCCAAATATCTGATGCCATCGCAGAGTTCAGATCAAGTCAATGTCTATTATGAAACGCTAGGAAACTGGACGGAAGCTATTTGGTGCCATTACATTAATTGGAAAGCTCAAATGTGAATTAGCCACAATTTAGTGTCCTCTTAGCTGTCGCGAACAAGCTGTAAAAACAGAATTTACGTAACTATTAGCTTATTAAGTTATTTCGAGGGAGGTTTAGCGTGAAAAAAGGGGAGATGTTTGAGTGAAACTGGTGATCTTGTTTTGTGTCTGAATGATGGATGATACTTAGCCTCAATTTTGCCATATTTTGTTTTCCGTGGATTTGGGAGGCGCTGTTGTAATTGTGGTTTAACTGGTCTTCATAGCAGCAGGTGCAAAGAAGGGGTCTGAGAATGGTCACAGGGCTGTAAATCTCACACCGGTCTGGTCTGAAGTGATCAGGAAACAGCTCATTAAGGGTTTTATACACTGCAGACTGGTGTTTTTTGACCCTAGTTGAGACGCTGTGTCGATTCGGGGACAACGGTGGGACAAAATCAATATTGTAAAGTCAACACACAATGCACCCAGGACCCAAGAGAATTTCATTTTAATGGACTACGATAAGCTCATCCACATGAAGTAATATATACATTTACAAACAATTACTAAAAGGAAAGTTTCACTCTTGTCCTGCATGGCTTGTTATATAAGTCATTTGTTATTATTAGTAATGGCCTGATTGAGAATACAGGGTTCAAAAAGACTGTAGGTGGAGGAGAGGTGATGGGAGAGAGGGGTAGGGTCAGAGAGTGTTTGGGCCGGTGTGTGTGTTGTTTTTGTGTGTCTAGTACCTCATGGTAAGGTATTGTGTATTACTGTTTGCATCGCACAGTATCAAACTTGTATATAATGATTAGTTGCATTGTATAGTGTGGGAAAAAAATAAGTATCTGCTTCATCCAACCCCTTTTCAACCCTGTATTAGTATCAAGATATGGGAGATTGTGTTCTGCAGGGTTTATATAAATCCGGCTAACTAAGTAATTAACTATGACTGAAAATAGTAACTTTTGTCGTAGAAATTAAACCCGAGGCAGCAGTTCACAGTTGGGCACAGCTGATCTGTAGTTATTTCAGGTGATTTCAGAATGCTAGTTTTATAGAGATATGAAAGATACTAGTTGTAGTACATATCCATGACAAAGGTAC